ACAGCAATGGCGGCGATTTCTGTTGACAGAACTGCTTCACGAAATACAATAGAATTTAGGGTGACAGCCAGTCTATATATATTTGAAGTCTTTGGGGCCAACTTATAAAGATAGTGAAAGAATTCTGACAGTTAACTTTAAAATTTTTATGAACGAGCTTCTATCAAAATTTTATTTTTGCCACTGTTCTGAACATATTTTGTATTTTTAAAAGTATTTGAAATACTATTTTGTATTTTGTATTTCAACTACAAGACATAAATGTATTTTGTAATTTGTATTTCAAATACATTAAATTGAAGTATTTTGTATTTTGTATTTCAATTACAGTGGAAAGTGTATTTTGCCCAACCCTGTCTACTTCCCCATTGTCAATTCCCCGATTTTTCAATTTTTCGAATTTTCATTTTGATTTTTCGAATTCCCAATTTTTCATTTTTTCTATTGCTCGAATTTTTTATTTTTCCACTTTCCAATTTTTGATTTTTTTTATTGTATGATTTTTTCATTTTCGATATTCGATTTTCCAAGTCCTCAGTTTTCGATTTTTGTTACATTCCTAAATTTTTTGATTTCTCAAATTTTCGATTTCCCAATTTCTCAGCTTTTTTCGTTTTTTGATTCTCGATTTCTCAATTTCTCCAATTTTTTCTGCTTTTTCGATTTATCAGTTTTGCAATTCTTCGATTTCTCAATTTTTTTGTATTTTAATTTTGATTTTTCCAATTCTCAATTTTTCTTTTTTTAAAAGGTATGATTTTTCAGTTCCTGGATTTTCGTTGTTCGATTTTTCATGTCCTCAATTAAAAATGAAAAATTTCACATTGAAAAAAAGAAAAATTACTAAACATTAAGATCTGGATAAACTAAAACTCGAGAAACTCATCAATCGCATAAAATTAATGAATTGAAAAATTGGACAGAAGAAAAACGGACCGAAAAATTCGAAAATGTAAAAACTGTAAAATCGAAAAATTATAGAATCGTCCAAATTGTAAAGTAGAAAAAATGTAACATTGAAAAATCGAAAAATTGAAAAAGTAAATATCGAAAATTTCAAAAACTACAAACTGAAAAATTGGGTAGTCAAATAAGTGAAAAAGCTTTGAAACCCAATAATTAAAAAATGGAAAAAATCTAAAATCGTAAAACTGAAAAATTGAAAAACTTCACGTTGAAAAAATTAAATGAAAACCATAAAAAACAAACATCGTAGAATTAAAAAAAAACAAAAATTGAAAAAACAAAAAATTATAAAATCGGAACATCAAAAAACCGTAAAAATAAAAAAATAAAACCTAGATACTCAAATCAAAAATTGCAAAATCTAAAAATTGAACTCAAATTTGTATGATTTTTGGATTTTCGATATTCGATTTTTCAAGTCCTCAATTTTCGATTTTTGGTTTTTTAGATTGTTGAATTCTTCAATTTTTTGAATTTTCATTTTGATTTTTCCAATTTTCAATTTTTCGTATTTTCGATTATTCGAATTTTTAGTTTTTCCAATTTTCAATTTTTCGTTTTTTTTTTTAGTGTATGATTTTTCAGTTTTTGGATTTTCGATGTTCGATTTTTCAAGTCCTCAATTTTTCGATTTCGCAATTTCTCCATTTCCCAATTTCTCAGTTTCTCTTTTTTTTTATTCTCAATTTCTCGATTTCCCGAGTTCCCAATTACTAGATTTCTCTACTTTTTTTGCATTATTCTACTTCTGCATTTTCAATTCCGTGATTTTTCAATTTTTCGATTTTTCCACTTCCCAATGTTTCGTTTTTTTATTGTATGATGTTTCGATTTTTCAAGTCCTCAATTTTCGATTTTTGGTTTTTCCGATTGTTGGATTACTCAGTTTTTCGATTTCTCGATTTCCCAATTTCTCAGTTTTTTCGTTTTTTGATTCTCGATTTCTCAATTTCTCCAATTTTTTCTGCTTTTTCGATTTATCGGTTTGCAATTCTTCGATTTCTCAATTTTCTGTATTTTAATTTTGATTTTTCCAATTCTCAATTTTTCGTTTTTTCAAAGTATGATTTTTCAGTTCTTGGATTTTCGATGTTCGATTTTTCAAGTCCTCAATTAAAAATGAAAAATTTCACATTGAAAAAAAGAAAAATTACAAAAAATTGAGATCTGGATAAACTAAAACCCGAGAAACTCATCAATCGCATAAAATTAACGAATTGAAAAATTGGACAGAAGAAAAACGGACCGAAAAATTCGAAAATGTAAAAACTGTAAAATCGAAAAATTATAGAATCGTCCAAATTGTAAAGTAGAAAAAATGTAACATTGAAAAATCGAAAAATTGAAAAAGTAAATATCGAAAATTTCAAAAACTACAAACTGAAAAATTGGGTAGTCAAATAAGTGAAAAAGCTTTGAAACCCAATAATTAAAAAATGGAAAAAATCTAAAATCGTAAAACTGAAAAATTGAAAAACTTCACGTTGAAAAAATTAAATGAAAACCATAAAAAACAAACATCGTAGAATTAAAAAAAAACAAAAATTGAAAAAACAAAAAATTATAAAATCGGAACATCAAAAAACCGTAAAAATAAAAAAATAAAACCTAGATACTCAAATCAAAAATTGCAAAATCTAAAAATTGAACTCAAATTTGTATGATTTTTGGATTTTCGATATTCGATTTTTCAAGTCCTCAATTTTCGATTTTTGGTTTTTTAGATTGTTGAATTCTTCAATTTTTTGAATTTTCATTTTGATTTTTCCAATTTTCAATTTTTCGTATTTTCGATTATTCGAATTTTTAGTTTTTCCAATTTTCAATTTTTCGTTTTTTTTTTTAGTGTATGATTTTTCAGTTTTTGGATTTTCGATGTTCGATTTTTCAAGTCCTCAATTTTTCGATTTCGCAATTTCTCCATTTCCCAATTTCTCAGTTTCTCTTTTTTTTTTATTCTCAATTTCTCGATTTCCCGAGTTCCCAATTACTAGATTTCTCTACTTTTTTTGCATTATTCTACTTCTGCATTTTCAATTCCGTGATTTTTCAATTTTTCGATTTTTCCACTTCCCAATGTTTCGTTTTTTTATTGTATGATGTTTCGATTTTTCAAGTCCTCAATTTTCGATTTTTGGTTTTTCCGATTGTTGGATTACTCAGTTTTTCGATTTCTCTATTTCTCGATTTCCCAATTTCTCAGTTTTTTCGTTTTTTGATTCTCGATTTCTCAATTTCTCCAATTTTTTCTGCTTTTTCGATTTATCGGTTTGCAATTCTTCGATTTCTCAATTTTCTGTATTTTAATTTTGATTTTTCCAATTCTCAATTTTTCGTTTTTTCAAAGTATGATTTTTCAGTTCTTGGATTTTCGATGTTCGATTTTTCAAGTCCTCAATTAAAAATGAAAAATTTCACATTGAAAAAAAGAAAAATTACAAAAAATTGAGATCTGGATAAACTAAAACCCGAGAAACTCATCAATCGCATAAAATTAACGAATTGAAAAACTGGACAGAAGAAAAACGGACCGAAAAATTCGAAAATGTAAAACCGAAAAATTATAGAATCGTCCAAATTGTAAACTAGAAAAACTGTAACATTGAAAAATCGAAAAATTGAAAAACTAAAAACTGAAAAATTGGGTTGTCAAATAAGTGAAAAAGCTTTGAAGGCCAATAATTCAAAAACGGAAAAAATCTAAAATCGTAAAATTGAAAAATTGAAAAATTTCACGTTGAAAAAAATTAAATGAAAACCATAAAAAACAAACATCGTAGAATATAAAAAACAAAAATTGGAAAAAATAAAAAATTATAAAATCGGAACATCGTAAAATCGTAAAAATAAATAAAATAACAAACAAAAACTAAAAAAATAAAAACTAGGTACTGAAATCAAAAATTGAACTCAAATTGAAAAATTCAAAAGTTGGAAAATTGAAAAATGAAAAATTTGATAATTGAAATGTAGCCACTTATTGCAATTTTTCGTTATGTACTTGCATAATCTTAATAATATACATATCAAAAAAACAAGTCTCGTTATTCAGCTTTTTCTAATCTTTGTTAAAATATCACATAAATTGAGTTTTCATTTAAAGTTATAATCAATCAACATATTTGATAACCACGCAAATGCTGATCAATGTAATTAATCAAAACCGACAGCCACTTGCTGATTAACGTAATTTATTTTATGATTAATAACACAACAAAAAAACGATTACGTATTTTATTTCGTGTCCAGTGATTGTGAAGCAATTTATGAATGGAATTTCCAGACCTAGATTTTTCCATTTGACGTACAAATGCACCAAACACACGCAACCTTTTATCTTTGAACCATGTACCAAAGGAGCGACAAAAATTTGGAAAGCATACACTTCATTTTTCTTAACAGATTGTGTATCTACTTAAGGCTAATAACACTTGAAGACCGTTATCACAATAATCGCATCTTCGTGGCGTCTCAAAACTTTACACTTTAATTATCTAGTTTACAGCAGATTCTGAAGTGAGAAACCAGGGACAAAAATTTTGATAAGAACAAAATATGTTGTGATAACCAAAACAGAAAAACGCGCATACGATAATCGATTGCGAATCAAACGGGAAACAGGTTTAAAGGTTATTTTACACAGTATGTGCATTAATTCAATTGCGAGAAACAAACCAAAGTCATTAGGATTTTTTTTAGTATCTTTTAGAATCAACTGAACAATTAGCTTATGCAATGACTTTACAGCAACTATTATTGCCATATAATGACCATAATAACTCATAATATTGTCGTAAATTTTTATAGTCACACAAGTTAACAATTTTGTTTGTTACCTTGTCTAAACTGAAAATAATGATCACGCAAGGTTATTAAAAATTAAGCATATGCGGTTGTGTTTGCTTTGGAATTCTATATACAGATTATTACTATCATAAAATCCATAATCCATCTTCTAATACCATCGTCGATAAATTACGCATTTCGTGACTATCGCTAGTCTGAAAACATTGAAATATTCCTATGTCACTTACCCCCGAAATCGGCACCCCTTTCAAGGGAAAATCGTCGCCGAAAATCTTCCCATAAATCTCCGAGCTGCTCCGAATTTCCGGCAAAATTTCCTCAGGAATCTTGAACGTGTGCAACAATATGGGGTCCCAATGGAAGGTTTCTATGTTCATTAAAAAAGTCCTAGAGGCATTTGTGACGTCAGTTAGGTGAAGACCGCCGTTCGGACCTCCTGTTAAATTCTGCAAACGACGTAATGACTCTAGTACTTTTAGTAGCGACGATTGCGTACCCACAATATCCAGGTGTCCACGGTACCAAAAAGACACTTCTTGGCTTTAATCGCCTTCTTCACTTCAGGCACATGATGCATCAACCATTTTAATTTGAAAGCACTAAAGTAGGGAGAAATTGGAAGACCACATAGCGGCTTAAAATAGTTTTTATTGTTTTCAGGTACCTTCGCCAAAATTATGTCTACTGTAGAATCTGTCCTAATATCATTCCAAACTGAAAACAATTACGACTGTCTTAATTAATAACCAATTATTGTGATTTTAAAGTTACCTATAGCGTTATAAAGTGGTTCTCCAGTGGTTTTATCCCAAACCACCGTGGTTTCCCGTTGATTGGTAATTCCAATAGCTACAATCTCTTTACACTCTGTAATTGAACATTAAACTAAATGACGCAACATTGTCTCAAATTTCGTACTTTTCTCGTCTAACTTATTAACGACATTTTTCATGCACGTTTTGACGGCTTGGAGGATTTCAGTGGGGTCCTCTTCAAACCAGCCCTCTTGAGGGGTTTGCTGGGTCACGTCTATGGCATCTCCAGCAATCTCCTGTGCATGTTGACTACGAAAAACACAGAATTGCACAGTTTTTGTCCCCGCGTCTATTACACCGATCAAGGGGGCCCCGTCTCCAGAATCGGATACCATGTTCTATGAGGGGCAAATTCTACGTGATAATGATAGAGTACAAAACGCAACTAAACAAGATAAATCGTCGTTTCAACTTTAACGAATTCGTTATCGCGGCAACATCAAAAAATTATGAATAATTGAACTTTAACATCAAAAAATCGATAGCACTACGGCACGGCGCGGCGCTAGATTTCGCTTTAATTGCAGTTTTTGGACGAACTGTTATGTAAGTTGGTACTTTTTTAATAATTTTAATAACAAATAAAAGCCTGCGTGACTGCTAATTTACAAAGTAATCATTAAATTGTGTTCAGATGGTGCACGAAAACAGTTTTGTAAATGGGTTTACGATGTAAATTGCCTGCAATTTACATAACAATGGTAATTTATGTTATGAAGGTATAAATAAATTGTTGGACAGGACAAACAATATGTTTTTACCTTAGGTTTTAGAAGTGAGCGGTTGAGGTTATCTTGACACAGTGCACGGTGGACACACCTCCACTACGTCACTTTACCCACTTTACTGGATTATCATCGTTTTAGGTGCGGATTAATATTTATACCCATTCGCGATAAGATACGTGTTTATTCACCAATTTCCTAACAATTAACCTATAAAAGCCAATCGCTGGCACAGGACCTGTCAAACTGTCAGGCATGTGTACATTGACGTTTTGAGTCGAGAATCTCCGAACTTATACGAAGGAGATGCTATAGATTAATATAGATGCGACATATAGGCTGATTTTGCAAAACCACCCGTATTGACATTGGAGTCCTCAACCGAACTTGTTTGATCTACAGACCAGAGCGCTCTCAAGCCAATATCGACTCTAAGCGTTCAGAAGCGATTTGGTTGGTTTGGACTATAATTTCTGCGAGAAATTGTCGTTTGGTCGGTTTTTATAACGACTAAGTGAATATTTTTAGTACATATTTAGATGATTTTACATATTTTGTTTAACTAAAAAAAATTAAAATAATCGAAAATTCGAAAAATCGAGAAATCTAATAATTGAAAAACCGAAACCTTAAAAAATCGTAAACCCGAATCATTGAAAAATCGAAATATCGGACAACTCAAAATCGAAAAATGAAACATCAGAAAATCGAAAAAATGTAAAATTCAAAAAGCTAAAATTTAAAAACCGAATAACGAAAAATTAAATGCCAAATCCATATTTCCTGCAAAAATTTACCATTTTAACGTGTTTCAAGTTTCTAAGCATAAAAAAGGTCATCACAATTGAGATGGGGTGGGTGGGCGGGGTTTATATTTTGCCTTTTTTTCTAAATGTACATAGTAATCTTTGAACAACATGATGCTCAAAAAACATGTTTTTAATTTCTTCTAAACAAACAAGTATTTTGCAGTTAATAAGCTCTGCCTCCTTGGTTCACGGCGAATAAAAAAGATGATCACAATTGAGATAGGGTGGGTGGGTTTAATATTTTGCTTTTCGGTTTTAATATCTATAGACTTTTTTCAGAACGTGAAACATAAAACATGTTTAAAATGGAAAATTTATATAAGGCAATATCGATTTTGGAATTAGGCTCCGCCTCATAATTACAAAATCCATATTTTCTTGCAAAAATGTACCATTTTAAGCATGTTTTAAGTTTCCTGTTGCCCAAATAAGTCTACACATATTAAGAAAAAAAGACAAAACGAGAAAGAAATCGAAACTCCCAAATTTAAAAATCGGATAACTGAAGAATCGAAACATCGAAAAACTGGAAAATCGAAAAACCGAGAAATCGAAAAATCAAAAGATCAAGAAATCGTAGAGTTGAAAAGCTAAAAATTGAACAATGTATAAATTGAGAAATTGACAAGCAAAATATCGAAAAATTGAAAAATTGACAGATTGAAAGATCAAAAGAACGAGAAGTCGAAATGTGCTGAAGTTAAAAAATCGAAAAATAGAGAAATCGACAAACAAAAAGTTAAAATTTGACAAATAGGAAAAGCGGAAATATCAAAAAAACGAAAAATTGGAAAACTGGAAAAACTGAGAAACCGAAATAGGCCAAAATAAAAAATTGAAAAACTTATAAATCGAAAACCTGAACAATCAAATCTCGATAAATCGGGAATGAAAAATTAACAAATCGAAAAATTGAAAAACAGAACATATAAAACCAGGAAGTCGAAAAATCCAAAGATTAAGAAATATTGAAAAATTAAAATATCAAAAGATTGAAAAATCTAAAGTTTAAAAATCCAAATATTGAAAAATCGAAAAAGTAAAAAGGTGGACACATCGAAAAACCAGAAGTCAAAAATAGAAAAGTCGAAGAATTGAAGTATTGAAAAATCCTAAAACTGAAATATCTAAAAACTGAAAAATCGAAAAATCAAAAAAGTGAAGTCGAAAAATAGAAACCTTAAAAAATCGAAAAATTGAAAAATCAAAAACCTGAAAATTCATAAAATTAAAGAATTGAAGGACAGGAAAATCGAAACACTCGAAGGTCAAGAAATGGGAAAACCATCGATGAATTAAAAAATCGAAAATCCAATCGAAATATTGAAAAATCCCAAAACGGAAATATCGAAAAACTGAAAAATGAAAGAAAAACTATAAATGAGAAACTAAATCGGAAATTCAAAACATTAAAAAATTTAAAACGACAATTGAAAACAGAAAATCTAAAACCGGGAAGTCGAAAAATCGAAAGATTAAGCAATCGAAAAATTGAAAAATCAAAAAAGTAAAAAAATCGACACATCGAAAACTCCAGAAGCCAAAAATCGAAAAGTCAAAATATTGAAAAATCCCAAAACTGAAATATTGAAAAACTGAAAAATGGAAAACCTGGAAAATCCGAAAAGTGAAATATCCAAAAACTGAGAACCTAAAAAGTCGAAAAATTGAGCAAACGAGAAACTTTAAAAAAACTAAAAAATGAAAAATCAAAAACCTGAAAAATCGAAAAATTGAAGTATTGAAGAACAGAAGTATCGAAACCCTTGAAAGTCAAGAAATGGGAAAATCAAAACATCTATTAATTGAAAAATCCAAAAATTGACAGTTTATAAATGTCAAATTTGAAAGTTGAAAAATCGGAAATTTGAAAAAACGACAAGTGAAAAACAGAAAATCTAAAACCGGGAAGTCGATAAATCGATAGATTAAGAAATTAAAGCATTTGAAAAATTCTAAAACTTGATAAACTGAAATATCGAAGAACTTAAATGAAAAATCTAGAAATCAGAAAATATAAAATTTTAAAAATTGATAAATTGAAAAAACGACAATTGAAAAACAGAAAATCTAAACCCGGGAAGTAAAAAATTGAAAGATTAAGAAATCGAAACATTTGAAAAATTGAAATATGGAAGAGGTGAAATGAAAAATCGAGAAATCGAAAAATTTTAAATATTGAAAAAGTAAAAAGTCGACACATCGAAAAATCCAGAAGTTAAAAATAGAAAAGCAGAAGAATTGAAATATTGAAAAATCCTAAAACTGTAATATCTAAAAACTGGAAAATCGAAAAATCAAAATAGTGAAGTCGAAAATAAAAAAATCGAAAAATTGAAAAATAAAAAAATTAAAGAATTGAAGAACAGGAAAATCGAAACACTCGAAGGTAAAGAAATGGGAAAATCAAAACATCGATTAATTGAAAAATCGAAAAATTGAGAGTTTATAAAAGTCAAATTTGAAAAATTAAAAAATCGAAAATTTGACAAAATGACAATTGAAAAACAGAAAATCTAAAACGAGGAAGCCGAAAAATCAAAAGATTAAGAAATCGAAACGTTTGAAAAATTCGAAAACTTGGAAAAAATTGAAATATCGAAGAACTAAGATGAAAAATCGAGAAATCGAAAAATCTAAAATTTTAAAAATAAAAAGATCTAAAATTTAAAAATCGAAAAATTGAAAAAGTAAAGAAATCGACATCGAAAAATCCAGGAGTCGAAAATGGAAGTCGAAGAATCGAAATATTGAAAAATCCCAAAACTGAAATATCGAAAAACTGAAAAATGAAAGAAAAACTAAAAATGGGATACTAAATCGGGAAATCAAAACATTGAAAAATCGAAAAATTTAAAACGACAATTGAAAACAGAAAATCTAAAACCGGGAAGTCGAAAAATCGAAAGATTAAACAATCGAAAAAGTAAAAAAATCGACACAGCGAAAACTCCAGAAGCCAAAAATTGAAAAGTCGAAGAACCGAAATATTGAAAAATCCCAAAACTGAAAAATGGAAAACCTGGAAAATCCGACAACTGACATATCCAAAAACTGAGAATCTAAAAATTCGAAAAATTGATCAAGCGAGAAATCCAAAAAGTGAACTCAAAAATCGAGACCTTCAAAAAACTAAAAAATGAAAAATCAAAAAATTAAAGACTTGAAGAACAGGAAAATCGAAACACTCGAAGGTCAAGAAATGGGAAAATCAAAACATCGATTAATTGAAAAATCGAAAAATTTACAGTTTATAAAAATCAAATTTGAAAAATTAGAAAATCGAAAATTTGACAAAATGCCAATTGAAAAACAGAAAATCTAAAACCGGGATGTCTTAAAATCAAAAGATTAAGAAATCGAAACATTTGAAAAATTGAAATATGGAAGAGATGAAATGAAAAATCGAGAAATCTAAAATTTAAAAATCGAAAAAGTAAAAAGTCGACACATCGAAAAACCCAGAAGTCAAAAATGGAAAAGTCGAAGAACAGAAACATTGAAAAATCGAAAAACTGAAAAATCCCAAAACTGAGAATCTAAAGAATCGAAAAATTGAGAATCAAAAAATTGTGACATTTTCGAAACTCAACTAAATACATTTTCTTGTAGATTTCGAGCTCTAGAACTCAACTCCGGCTTCTGTTTTTTGATATCTGCTACCGTTGAAATTTCGAAATTTTTAAAATTTTCAAACATTCCCATTTCGTAGTGATTTTTTCGAAAATGTTGCTTCGTGACCATCAACATGCTATATTTTTGGAATCAGCGTGTCGAGATCTCCGTCCCTGATTTTTTTCATAATTTTTAGACAACTTTTTTAAAATTGAAATTTTTTGATGGTGGTCCCCCCTTCCTCAAATTTCGCAAAAATTTTGACATTTTCGAAAGTCAATTAAATATATTTTCTTGTAGATTTCGAGCTCTAGAACTCAAACCCGGCTTAGGTTTTTTGATATCTGCAAACGTTTTTCCAGAATCGACCGCTGAAATTTCGAAATTTTTTAAATTTTTCAAAAATTCGCATTTCGCAGCGTTTTTTTCGAAAATGTTGCTTCGTGACCATCAACATGCTATATTTTTGGAATCAGCGTGTCGAGATCTACGTTCCTGAATTTTTTCATAATTTTTAGACAACTTTTTTAAAATTAAAATTTTTTAGTGGTCCCCCTTCTTCAAATTTCGCAATAATTGTGACATTATCGAAACTCAACTAAATACATTTTCTTGTAGATTTCGAGCTCAAGAACTCAAATCCGGCTTCGGTTTTTTGATACCTGCAAACGTTTTTCCAGAATCGACCGTTGAAATTTCAAAATTTTGGAAATTTTCAAAAATTCCCATTTCGCAGCAATTTTTTCGTAAATGTTGCTTAGTGACTATCAACATGCTATATTTTTGGAATCAGCGTGCCGAGATCCACGTCCCTGAATTTTTCATAATTTTTAGACAACTTTTTAAAATTAAAATTTTTTAGTGGTCCCCCCTTCTTCAAATTTCGCAACAATTGTGACATTATCGAAACTCAACTAAATACATTTTCTTGTAGATTTTGAGCTCTAGAACTCAAATCTGGCTTCGGTTTTTTGATACCAGCAACCGTTTTTCAAAAATCGAAGGATTAAGAAATCGAAACATTAGAAAAATTGAAATATGGAAGAGATGAAATGAAAAATCGAGTAATCGAAAAATCAAAAATTTTAAATATTGAAAAATTAAAATACCAAAAAATTGAGAAATCTAAATTTTAAAAATCGAAAAAGTAAAAAGTCTACACATCGAAAAATCCAGAAGTCAAAATTGGAAAAGTCGAAGAACAGAAATATTGAAAAGCCCAAAACTGAGAATTTAAAGAATCGAAAAATTGAGAAGCAAAAAAGTGAAGTCGAAATATCGAAACCTTAAAAATATCGAAAAATTGAAAAATCAAAAACATGCAAAATCGTAAGATCGAAAAATTGAATAACAAGTAAACTAAAAAATCCCAAAACTGAAAAGTCCAAAAACTGAGAAATTAAAAAATTGAAAAATTGAAAAATCGAAAAATCAAAAAAGTGAAGTTGAAAAATTGAAACCTGAAAAAATTGAAAAATTGAAAAACGAAACTAAAATTTCGAAAAACTGAGAATTCGAAAGTTGAAACAGCAAGAAATTATGGTCGAAACCCGTTAGGATGTGTATCAGATCACGGATCATGGCTTATAAATCAAATCGTTTCCGAAAGCTTAGAGTCGACATTGGCCTGAGTGCGCTCTGGTCTGTAGATCAAACAAGTTCTCAGACGACGAACTGTAATTCGTGTGATCTGAATTAAAGTGAAGGAAACAGTAAGCTGTTTCGTTTCATGCAGACTCGACCGATATCGGCTTTCGCCTCGGGTCGTACCGCCCTCAACCCTCGAGGGGCAATCTGGCCACTCGAGACATATGTGATTTTAGTTCGTAGGAATAACTTCTAAAGAACACTTGTTTTGTTACTGTCTTAATATATACGCTAATTTAAGTCCACTGCGTATTTCTTTACTGCGAACTCATACCGACGGATAGTAACAAACATAAGCAGCTTGTAATATTCTGGTAAATCTAGTGTCAATTTGTCGAAAGTAAACCGCGTCGTTAAAAATATTATGACATTTTGTCTAGTTAACTTTATTCCTAGTTAGAAACAAACACTCTTGCCAACATAAGTCGAGGAGTCCTCAACTTATGACGCTTCTCTATGTTCTCTGGAGATGCCCCCAGATTAGTGCATTTTCATTGGTTACTTGAAGTCAGTGGTGCCACCACAAAGTGAAATATAATGTGTTATGTAACCCATCATACTTTTTGTGCATTTTTACTGTCTGGTGGGCGAATCCGAGAAATTTGCAGTAATAAGTTAATAAAACTCTACAGTTCTACTTTTCATTCGAAAAATGTGGGTCGAAAAACAAAACTATGGAACAATTGATTAAAAACGTTTTGAGTTGCAGTTGGCAATGATATAACCTGTGCGGTTGGTGTTTCTGGTGAAATTATGACTCCTCATGGAGAAAATAAAATTTATTTAAAATACTTTACGCTACATAATTATCACTCACTACATAAGGCATCGCACTTTATCTCCTCCTCCTGATAAAATTTCAAACTTATCTCTAAGTACCGTTCAATTTCGTAAACATCTCCATAAGTCACAATTCGCCAACACATTGAAAGCTGATATAAAATTAAGTTAAAACGATATATAAAAGATCACATAGGAATGCTTTCTGTAGGTAATACTGCTTCCATTTTCACGAAAGCCATAAGTACATTGAGTAACCGTCACTCGTCTGTTACCCGTCCTAGACCTGCATCGTAGACAACGGAATCGACTTAAAATTAGCGATGGACTCTTCCAAAAGCAGCGGCTTCTTCTCCTCCTTCTTCTTCCCAGCCTTCTTATTCTTGCCTCTGTTAAACACGCCGTCGTCTTCGTCCATCATGCGGATTATTTGCAACTGGTCGGACGAGTCAATGGGGGCCACGGAAATGTCGCGGACGGCTCTGAATTTACCGCAGTTATTCAAGTGTTCGTTCTCCAGACGGAAGAAATTCCAAACGAATCGTCGGAAGACTTCTAGAGGCGACAAAATGGAAGTCATTAGGTCTCCACTGACAAGGCCACTTTCGGTCAAATACAGAGATAAAGCCCAGACGAAACGGAGGACGAAGTCTTCGATTATAGCAAAGTAGTAGAACGACTGGAAAACATTATTTAAAAAAAAAAAACATAAAGAAAAATGTGTACAAACCGGAGACGAGTAAACGATTTCTTCGCGCAAGAACTTATTTTCTCCAGCCGCTTTGTCGAAAAGGCCCCAATCCATTTTGATGTCCCAAGTGTAGGCGTAACAGGAACTGATTATAGAGGCAATTATAAACAGGAAGAGGTAGGGATTTTCGGTTTGGTCTTCGTAGCTACTTTTGTAGTACGACCGCAGGGTTGAAAACACCACCACAAAAAAAGTTGTTGAGTATTTTCCGGCGTTCACTAAGTGAGGGAAAGCTTCTTTGGTGTCGTAGTAACGACGTAGGCACTGAGCGAAACGTATCCACGCTGGAATGCAGTTGATTATAGGCCTTATGATAAAGTTCCTTTCCATACACTCTGTAGTATCTATAAAATTACATAAGGACGAATTTCCTTACAAGTGAGTGAAAAATTGTACCTCCTGCTTCCGACCAGTCATCTCCATGAGAATAATAGAAACAAATTAAAAACTGGAAGTCTAAAAGTGCGTTGGCAAGACTGTTCAATTGATCGGCCAGCCAGAAATCGGCAAAGCCGACTCGGAAAAAAGGGGCACCAAACATGCGACCCTACAATTTTGTTTTTTTTGTGTGTGTGTGTGTTTAGCGTCAAGTCTTACTTACACAAATCCTCAGGAACCAAAATCTCGCGTCGTGCCTAAATACCTTGAGAGGGTTTATCACAAACAAAACCATAATGACAGTCAAGGCTAGAGGATTCACATACGGTGGTATACTAAGACTCATACTATAAAGAAAACTGAGCAAACTTAACGTCCAAACAACACCAAGAATGGCCGCTAGTTCTATTAGGTGTTGCTCGGATAAGTGATTTCTTGGATCCAGTTCAAAAATAAGTACGTGGTTGACTCCGGATGATCTCCACCCGTACACATTCACCCCTATTAGGAACAAAAATTCGATTATTAGAAGCGGTCCTCTGTATAACCTGAAGGCGATTTTGAGGTTTTCGGTGGCGCCATCGTGGAAGATTGCTGAAATAGTGAGTTAACGCGACTTTAACAACCAAGGGGGGACATACCGGATAGCACCACTGCGATTAATAAGACTATAAACGACCCTGAGAAAAGACCGACTTTGAAAGTCGTCCATGGTGATTGTTGTTCGCCGAGAGGGGGCACTCTTAGCCTCTTCATAGCCTTCTGTCTGTCGCCACCTTCCAGTTCATTGGTCACAGCGTTTTCTGTGTCCGCGATAATTTTGTCGATGTCTTTGTTGGTGTAGAAGTGCGACGTTTCGACGTTGTCTTGGCGCCATTTTGCTCCAACGTCAGTAGACAACAACTACACAAAACAATAAATAAAAATCTAGTTCACCTAAGTAAAAACAAACCTTATCGTGCTTTTTGAGTATCTTCCTAAACCCTGTAAAGTTAAGCGTTTGGTAGTTTTGCAACAAGATCAAGCTCAAGTAGAATTCGCTAAAGGCCAACTTGAGTTCTTGCAATTTTCGCGCAGGAATGTGTCTTTTCGTTTCGGGTTCTCTCCGTTTTCCTTGTCTGATGGTGTCCAAAGATGCTTTCAGTTCGCTGTTCAAGTTTGCGAATTTTCGCGTGGCTTCGGCGAACTTTTCCGAGTAGAAAGTGTTGATTTTCTTCAGTTCTTTGTCACAGTAGTGGAAAAACTGCTCGTCGAAGTTGGCGAAGTGGCGAGTGAGGACTTCGGGTTCTACGCTTTCGGCGGATGGGGCCTCTTCCACCGCCATGTAGAGCATGGCCTTCATTTCCTGCAAAATTCGAATTTGGCGCGGGTTAGTGGGGAGTTTTAACCTCAATTTGTGGTTTTGGGGCTGTGTGAGTCGGGCGAAGAAAATTAATTAATTTAAATTGAATTCTATTTCAAAAATTATTGACAGTTGATATTTGATAATGTAATGAACGTTAAAATTGCAACCGTTGTAAATTTTACAGATCGTTAATTATACGAAACATACATAAAATCCCTGTTCTAATAATAATATATTAGTAATCTAGGAACTTTGATACCAAGCAACTATAAGTACCTTCGTTTCATTTTATTAACAAGTGTTTGATTAATGATCATACTATGCTCATGTGGCCTGTGATGATAACCACTCTTGCAAACAAATAATTTAATAATCAAATGTTTAGGAATATTGAAATTTCAGCACAATCTTTGAATATGATACCTGATGATGAAAAATTGGTCGAATTTCAGGGGCGAGGGAAGTTCTGTCGAACAGCTCAAAAAATCGCGCCTCTTTGAAAAAAGCGGTTCGTACTAGTGCGGACAAGATGAAATATATTTAAAGCACAAAACTGATTAAATGGAGACATCCAGAAATCGAACAATTGAAAAATTGAAATATCAAAATGTCGACAAATCGAGACATTAAAAATTTTTAAAATTCGCAAATTGAAAAACCGAAAAATTGAAATCGGAAAAATAGAAAAATCGAGTAATCTAAGCAAGAAAAATTGAAATATCTAGAATTTAAAAAATCGATGTATTAAGATACCGAAAAATCGAAAAATCCAGGAATTGAAAAATTCCCAAAATTGAAATGTTGAAAATTGGTCGTATTTTGTATAGATTTATATTGTGCAAACAACGATTCTGGAAAAACCATTGGAGTTATCGAAGAAATACTTAAAAGCGGGAGCGACTTCTGCGGCCCGAAATCTACAAAAAGATGTATTTAGTGAAATTTCGAAAATTTTGTTGAAAAATGGTCGAAAATTGGGCGAATTTTGCATATTTTTATATATTTCAAATGACGATTCTGGAAGAACCATTGGAGTTATCGCAGAAATGAAAGCGGATATGACTTCTGCGGCCCGAAATCTACAAGAAAATTTATTTAGTGAAATTTCGAAAATTTCGTTGAAAATGGGTCGAAAATTGGTCGTATTTTGCATAAGTTTCTACTGTTCAAAGGACGATTCTGGAAACACCATTGGAGTTATCGAAGAAATGAAAGCGGGAGTGACTTTACGGCCCGAAATCTACAAGAAAATGTGTTTAGTGAAATTTCGAAAATTTCGTTGAAAATTGGTCGAAAATTGGTCGTATTTTGCATAGATTTCTAGTGTTCAAAGGACGATTCTGGAAAAACCATTGGACTTATCGAGGAAATAAAAGCGGGAGTGAATGCTGCGTCTCGAAATCTACAAGAAAATGTATTTAGTGAAATTTCGAAAATTTCGTTGAAAATTAGTCGAAAATTGGTCGTATTTTGCATAGATTTGAACTTTTAAAAGGACGACTCTGGAAAAACCATTGGAGTTATCCAAGAAAAGGAAGCGGGAGTGACTTCTACGGCCCGAAATCTACAAGAAAATGCACTAAGTGAAATTTCGAAAATTTCGTTGAAAATTATTCAAAAATTGGTCGTATTTTGCATAGAAAAACCGAAAAATTGAAATTGGAAAAATAGAAAAATCGAGCAATCTAAGCAACAAAGAATTGAAATATCTAGAATTTAAAAAATCGAAATATAAAATTTCCGAAAAATCGAAAAATTGAAAAATTCCCAAGATTGAAATGTTGTGAAATTTTAAAAATCGAAAAACCAGCATGCTGGGAAATCGAAAATGCCAAAAACTGAAAAACTAAATTATTAGAACATTTAAAAATCGGAAAATGGAAACATAAAAAAATCGTAAAATCGAAAAACTGAAAACCCAAAAAAAAACGAGAAATCGAAAAATTGTAAATTTAAAAATCGAAAAAATCCTAAAAATGAAATGTTGAAAAATTGAGAAATAAAAAAACTGAAAAAAGAAACATCGAAAAATTGGAGAATTGAAAAGTTGAGAATTTAGAAATGCCGAAAATATAAAAATCGAAAAATTTAAAATTGAAAAATTGAACAAATCCTCAAACTGAAACGAAAAAGCCAAAAATCAAAACATGGACAAATTGGAAAATCGAAAAATCGATAAGCCAAAAGTCGAAAACTGGAAACATCGCGAAATTGAAAAATCGAAACATCGCAATTTCGATAAATCGGGAAATTAAAAAACTGAAAAATCAAAAAACTTTAAAATCGGAAAATCAAAAATTTTAATCAAAAAACTGAAAAATTGGTAATTCTAAAATTTAGTACGAAAAACTGGGGAACCGAAAAATAGAAAATTCGAAATTCCTATAAATCAAAAAATCAAAAATTTAACGGCTCGAAAAATTGAAAAATCAAAAACCTGCAAGATCGAAAAATTGGAGAATTGAAAAACTGAAAAATCTAAATCGAGAAATTAAGAACTCTAATGCCCGTTTGCACGAAGCTTGACGTAAGCTTTGCTTAACTAAGAAGTGTTTAATTTTAAGTGGGACTTAAACTGTTTGTCTATTGCACCATCGTTGCTTATCCGTGACTTAATAAAGCAATGCTTAGTTGGTGAGTTTAATGGAATGCGGACTTCTATTGGCAACACTAGCAACTGAGGTATCTTCAACGCATGATCGTAACATGCAAAGTGCAACATGATTGGCAACAGCGACCGAGCATGCGCTCTTTCATTTCTTGTTGTTAAGAAGAACTTTAGAATTTAAGCCGTCACTACCTGCCGGCTTAAAATAAGCCCCTCTTAGAACACCCTAAGAAGCGGTTTCATGTTGGTGCAACGGTTTTCTGTTTTTAAGTATTGCTTAAATTTTAAGTATAGTTGCAATGCGTTGGTGCAAACGGACATAAGAATCGATTAATGGAGAAATCGAAAAATCGAAAATTTAGAAACGCCGAAAATTGAAAAATCGAAAAGAAGAAAAAAACTGAAACCTGAAAAATCTAAAAATTGAGAAATCGGAATATCGAAGAAAGAATCGCAATGTGTACTGCAGAAAAAGGCTGAAACATCGAAAAATTGAGAAACTGAAAAATTAAAAAACCAAAAATTTAACAATTCGAAAAATTGAAAAATCAAAAACCCAAAACATCGAAAAATTGAAGAATTTTAACATTGAAGATTTAAAAATGCCGAAAACTGAAAAATCGAAAAATTTAAAATCAAAAATGGAAACAATCTAAACAGAAATGTCGAAAAATGGGAAATGAAACAACGGAAAAATCTAAAAATTTAAAAATTGAAGAATCAAAGATTTTAAACATCAAGACATTTGAAAAAAACTAAAATTTTAAACATCAAAAAATTGAAAACACTAAAATTGAAAAATGGAGAAATCGAAAAATCAAAAATTTAAAAACTGGGAAATTTGAAAAACCAAAAACGTAAAACACTGAAAAATTGGAGAATGGAAAAATTCAAATTTAGAAATGCCGAAAATTGAAAAATTGAGAAGTTCAACTGAAATATCGAAAAATGGGAAATAAAACAACTGAAAAATCGAAACATCAAGAAATATGAAAATACAAAAATTGCAAGCCGAGAAGTCGAAAACACGGACAACCGCGAAGTCGAAATTTCGATAAATCGGGAAATTGAAAAATCGAAAATTCAAAAAAACTGAAAAATTGAAAAATCAAAAAAACCGAACATTTAAAAAATCAAAAAATTTAAACATCAAACAATTTAAAAATCTAAAAATTGAGAAATCGGGAAATCGAAGAAAAAATCGAATCTGTATTGAAAAATACTGAAACATCGAAAAATTAAAAAATAAAAACCTAAAACATCGAAAAATTGGACAATTAAAAAATCGAAAATCTAAACGCGAAAACTCGAAAAACCGCGAAATCGAAAAGTCGGAACAACGAAATTTCGATAAATCGGGAAATAAAAAAATTCAAAAATCAGAAAAACTGAAAAATCGAAAAATTTGAAAATTGAAAAATCAACAAAATTGCAAAAATCGGTAAATCTAAAATTTAAAACAACAAAAAATTGAGAAACCGGAAAATAGAAAAATCCAGAAATTGTATAAATCGAAAAATCAAAAATTTAAATGCTCGAAAAATTGGAAAATCAAAATCCTGGAACATCGAAAAATTGAAGAACTGAAAAAACTAAAAATCGAGAAATTGAGAACTTTAAAAATCAATCAATTGAGAAATCGCAAAATCGAAAATTTAGAAACGTCGAAAATTGAAAATCGACAATTTAAAAATCGAAAAATTAAAAATCCCCGAACTGAAAAATCTAAAAATTGAGAAATCGTGAAATCGAAGGAAGAATCAAAATGTGTATTGAAAAATACTGAAACATCTAAAATTTGAGGAACTGAAAAATGGAAAAATCGAGAAATCGTATAAATCCAAAAATCAAAAATTTAAAAATTTGAAAAATTGAAAAATCAAAAACCCAAAACATCGAAAAATTGAAAAATGGCAAATAAAACAACTGAAAAGTTGAAAATTCGGAAAACCGCGAAATCGAAAAGTTGAAACATCGAAATTAAAAAATTGAAAAACCAAGAATTTTAAATATCAAAAAATAAGAAAAAACTAAAATTTTAGACATCAAAAAATTGAAAAATCGGTAAATCTAAAATTTAAAACAACGAAGAATTGGGAAACCCAAAAATAAAAAATCGAAAAATCGAAAATTTATAAACGTCGAAAAATTCCAGAACTGAAATATCGAAAAATTGAGAATCGAAAGTTGAAAGTCTGAAACTGAAATCGAAAAAACGAAAATTCTAAAAATGACGAAATCAAAACATTCTTCTACAATTTTTCTTTCAAAAATCTCTATGTCTAGAACAAATATCGGACTTATTTTACAAGTCCAGGAATGTTACTTTTTAACATTTAAATAACGTTTATTCCACAAAATTGCCAGATGACGTCATCAATTCCTGGGCGAGAACGAATAGATTTTGATTAACGATTCCCATGTTTCCAATAACCTTAAAAGGTTTGCACGATTTCAAAAATTAATTTTGCAATTTCTACGTTAAATTGTAAAATATTATATAATATTCAGTTTTTTTTTTTCCAAAAATTTGGATGCCTATTGGAGGAGTACGTTATTTTATAACATTTAAATAACATTTACTATTGTAAAATTTGGAAATGACGTCATTTCATTCTTGGTGATGATGATAAAAAACAAATTTTGGTTTGCGTTTTACCATCAACATGATATTCCTAGCATACATACGGTCCAGTAATTTCGGATATTATATGTCTAATAATAATTCACACCGACGGCGGACACACAGAGAGAGATATACAGACAGACGGACGAAAACGGGAGGCGTATTTTTTCGTTCTCTGAGGTCGTGAAACGTCGAGAAAATATAAAAATAGCCGGTCGCCCGATGGAGTCGATTACAATACTTCCTTAGCTTACACTGGGGAAGTAAAAATATATAGGTACAGGATTTTCATAAATGATTCATCTAAGTGGGCAGTGATTTGTTCCGCTTCTTTCACATGCAAATGTCATAGGTCACTAGATGTAGGACACATTTATGAAAACCCTGTATATGTACAGCAAGACATACGTGAGAGGCAAAAACCAAATTCCAGTAAGTAGCTTTTTATTTAGTGCTTGATCATTAAATGCTTATGTGGCCTGTGATAATACTGTCGCAAACAAATTCATAATCACGCATTAAAAACTGCCCTCATTTGGTACAAAAATGCTCTCATTTAAAAAAAAATACCATGTAACAAATACAGTTAAAAAATACATACTTAACATTCTAGAGAAGAAAATAGATACGTAATTTAAACTGTTGCGAAACGATTGTCATTTTTATTTCTAGAACATCTTCGACGCTTTCTTCCACGGATTTTAATATGCCATCAACTTGAAATGCTTCGATAATCAACTAGAGACCTGTATCATGTATAGTAAATTATAGCTTTATCTATTCTCGCTAATCATATTTATCAAGAAAACTAACATAATAACTTGTACTACACCTTCGAACGAAATTTGACAACGTTGAATCATTTTGAATGCATGTAAATTTAAATGAGACAAAAACTGTTTATCCCATAATAGGTTCAAAACAACACTTTAATTATCTTCTTAATTATCATTGTTACTACCGTTTAAGTTTCACACTCTAAAACTGAAGTGCTGTAGTTTAAACCCATTCATCATGTGTCAACAGTAATTTTCACGTCGTGTTGCTGACAAACAAAAATTTTCCAAAAAAATCGACATTTACGCACCACTTTGAACAAAAACATTGTTGGTAATTATTACTATAATTTAAACATCGCGCTTTTAACTTAATTCGACGCGTCTTCCCCAGAGGGCGACCCATCCCTAACCTCAATCAATTCGCACTTCTAATCGATCAATTTTAAGGACAGATCAACGTAGGCGTTGTATCTAGTTTCGAAACGTACTATAGACACATGATTTCGAATTAAAGTCAAGGTCTGCGGCGCATTGCGCAATTTTTGCATAAGAGTGACTAGTCAGCGTTCGTCACGGTTTTTGTGATCCCTTTGTGCAAAAAATAAACACTTTTGTCCTTACCTCGTAGTTTATGTACTGTTTCCTCCATTCTGGGGTGATGTGCGCTGATAAATGTTCTGCGAATTTCATATTTGGAGCCTAAATAATCCGGGGACGAGCACTACCGAACTGACTGGTTAATTACTGGTTACAGTTGCTTTTATCATTATTTATCGTGAACTTTTCATTAAATTCAATGCTAAAAGTAAACAGTTATTCGTATTTATTTATCACAATTAGGTCTAATAAGCACACAGATTCTTTCATCTTGCTCCGATTGTATACACATTATACACATACTTGAACATGAACAGATAAGAGATTTTGCATTAGACAATAAGTATCAATTAAAATTATCGTTATCATATCGTTAGTCTTACATGCGGAAACTTAGTGGAATTAATCGAATGACCGAGACTGGCTTGAATGTGAAAACGCACATAACCTCACATTTATGAATTATGATCGTGAGTAATGTTTACACGACAATTCTGTTCCATAAATAAAAAATGATTCCACGGGTTTATGGGAGATTTGCGCGTGAAATGGTTGTTTATCCGAATTGTTAAATTTGTTATAGGAAGTTTAAGTACCGAGACAATTAGTTCAAGAGGTTTATAGGTGTAGGAGAATGTTTATTTCTACTTTATTTCCGTGCTAAATTATGGGTGCACTATTCAGTTTAAATATTTGCGAATAACTACACACTTTACGATGCTATAAAATTATAAATTATGTGCAGTTAACTGCCGTGTACAAAGAAAAATTCTCATTAAATATTTAGTAAGTGGTAAATAGATATTTATAAAACTTTGTGATGTCACCAGCTTGCAGCAGGTCAAAAGTGTTATTTAGCAGCATACTGATAAATGTGTTAAATGAGATAAAGGAATTTTTTTCCCTTAATTTTATTATATAGGCAACCAACTATACATCTATGTGTACGGCTGCCATTAGTATGCACTGTGAGAAAATGGTTTCCTTTATCAACCGTTCAAGGTGTTTTTAGACAAAAGGGAGCCTTGAAATTTTTCTTCACGTTGGACAAACTGATTCATTGACAAAATGATTTGTCTGTTCGTCGCCTACGAACTTGTTTGATCTACAGACCATAGCGCACTCAAGCCAATATCGACTCTAAGCGATCCGAATGATACAATTTACATTTCAAATTGTATTATTAAATGGTAAAACGCTCATCAATATTTATCACCAACAATGTAATGAAAATAGTAGATGTAATTTAAATATTATGTCCTCCATTTACGGTTTATGAATCCGTGACGTCAAGATTTTTGGAAAAAAAATCGACAACATTTTCAAATTTATGGTTACTGGCAGCATGTTAAATCGTTAGTCAAAATATATCCGTTCATGTCCCCAAGCAGTTGATGATGTCATCTTACAATTTTGTCGAATAAATGTTATTTAAATGTTAAAAAGTAGACTTTTCAATTTTTCCATTCTTCAAATTTTCAATTTCTCGTTTTTTTTTTTATTTTTCGATTTTTCAGTGTTCTGATTGTTCAATAATATATTTCTCAATTTGTGTCCTCTTCAATTTTACGATTTCTAAAATTTGGATTTTTCAATTTTTCAAATTTTGACGTTTCTAAATTTTCAGTTTTCCGATTTCACTTCTTCAAATGTTCAATTTTTCGATTTTTCAGGTTTTTGATTTTTCAATTTCTTGGTTTTTTAGGCTTATGATTTTTCGACTTTGCTTTTTTAGTTTTTCGGTTTCTCAATTTTCCAATTTTTTAATTTCTCAATTTTTTGAATATTTCTTTCAATATTGAGATTGCGGTTTTTGACTCCATTTTTTGATTTCTCAATTTTTTACTTTTTGGCTTTTCAATTTTTGTTAAACTTTAGATTTTTCAATTTTTCGACTATGTATTTTATTACTTCGATTTTTCAATTTTTCAACTTTTCGATATTTTAATTTTTCGATTTTTTAAATTCTAGATTTTTCGATTTCTCGAGTTTTCAGTTCTTCTATATTTCAATTTTTTAATTTTCCGTTTTTTAAATTTTCGATTTTATAATTTTTCTTTTTTAAAATTTTTCATTTTTTTGATTTCTCTAATTCAGATATTTCGATGTTTTGATTTTTAAGTTTTCTACTCGCTTTTCGACTCCTGGATTTCTGGATCCTCTAATTTTTCGATTTCTCAAGGTCTCAGCTTTTGAATTTTTCGATGTTTCGATTTTTGGGTTTCTCGGTTTTTCGATTTTTTACTTTTGGGCTTTTCTTTCTCAATTAATCTATTTTTGATTTTCCCATTTCTCGACTTCTCAAAGTTTCGATTTTTCAGTTCTTCAATTCTTCGATTTTTTGACTTTGCTTTTTTGGTTTTTCGGTTTCTCAATTTCCCAATTTTTTAATTCTTTAATTTTTGGATATTTCTTTCAGTTTAGGGATTTTTCAATATTTCGATTCCTCGACTTTTCGATTTTTCAATATTTTATTTTTTGGATTTTCAGTTTTTCATTTTTTAAACATTAGATTTTTCAATGTTTCGAATGTTTTATGTTTCGATTTCTGAATTTTTCAACTTTTCGATATTTTAATTTTTCGATTTTTAATATTCTAGATTTTTCGATTTCTCGAGTTTTTAGATTTTCTATATTTCAATTTTTTTATTTTTCGTTTTTTAAATTTTTGATTTTCCAATTTTTCTTTTTTTTTAATTTTTCGATTTTTCAATTTTTTGAGTTCTCGAATTCAGATATTTCGATGTTTTGATTGTTCAATTTCTTGATTTATCAATTTTTCAATTTTCAACTTTTCTTCTCCGCCTTTCGACTCTGGGATTTCTCGATCCTATAATTTTTCGATTTCCCGATGTCTCAATGTTTGAATTTTTCGATTTTTGAATTTCTCGGTTTTTCGATTTTTTAATTTTGGGCTTTTCAAAATTTTCATTTTCCGATTTCTGGAGTAATCTTTCTTTTATTTTCTCTGTTCTCGACTTCCTAAAGTTTCGGTTTTTTACTTCTTAAATTGTTAAAATTTTCGATTTTTCAGGTTTTTGATTTTTCAATTTTTCGATTTTTTAAGCTTACGATTTTTCGACTTTGCTTTTTTAATTTTTCGGTTTCCCAATTTTCCAATTTTTTAATTTCTCAATTTTTTGGATATTCCTTTCAGTTTTGAGATTTTTCAAGATTTCGGTTTTTGGATTCCTGGATTTTTTGATTTCTCAATTTTTTATAATAATAATAATAATAACAGGACTTTATTAAATAAAAGGCGAAGTCTAGCCATAGGCTATTCCACTTACTTTTTACTTTTTGGCTTTTCAATTTTTCGTTAAACTTTAGATTTTTCAATTTTTCTACTTTTCCATGTTTTAATTTTTCAGTTTTTAAAATTCTAGGTTTTTCAATTTCAGTTTTCAGTTCTTCTATATTTCAGTTTTTTAATTTTCCGAATTTTTAAATTTTCGGTTTTTCAATTTTTTGATTTCTCGATATATCTAATTGAGATGCTTCGATGTTTGGATTTTTGATTTTTCGATTTCTCGATGTCTCAGTTTTTGAATTTTTCGATGTTTCGATTTTTGAATTTCCCGGTTTTTCGATTTTTTACTTTTGGGCTTTTCAGTTTTCAATTTAAATTTTTTTCAATGTCTCGATTTTTCAGTCATCCGATTTTTCAAGTTTTGAATTTTTTTAAATTCTGAGGTTTCGATTTCTCGATTTGTCGTCGATTTTTCAGTTTTTGGATTTTTAAATTTTAGAATTTCGAATTTTTGATTTTTTATTTACTGATGTTTGGATTTCTCGATTTTTCGATATTTTAATTGTTCAATGTTCTAAATTTTTGATTTTTAGATTTTCGATTTTTTGATTTTTCAGTTATTCAGTTTTCCCATTTTTCAATTTTTCAAATTTTGACGTTGCTAAATTTTCAGTTTTCGATTTCTTCATTAATCTATTTTTGATTTTCCCATTTCTCGACTTCTCAAAGTTTCGATTTTTCAGTTCTTCAATTCTTCGATTAAATTAAACAATGCAAAACTGAAAAATCTACTAATGTTTAAACAAACATTAGATTTTTCAGGTTTTTTTCGATTTCTCGAGTTTTCAATTTTTTAATTTTTCGTATCTTAAATTTTCGACTTTCCAATCTTTATTTTTTTTAATTTTTCGATGTTTCAATTTTTTGATTTCTCGAATTCAAATATTTAGATGTTTTGATTGTTTAATTTCTTGATTTATCAATTTTTCAATTTTTAAATTTTCTTCTCGCCTTTCGACTCCTCGATTTTTCGATCCTCTGATTTTTTTATTTCTCGATGTACCAGTTTTATTATTTGTCTGTTTCGTTTTTTGGATGTCTCGGTTTTTCGATTTGTTACTTTTGGGTTTTTCATTTTTTTGATGTTTCGATTTTTCAGTTATTCGATTTTTCAATTTTCCAATTTTTTAAATTCTCGAGTTTCGATTTCACTTTTTGTCGATTTTTCAATTTTTAATTATTAAAATTTAAAATTTTTATTTTTTGATTTTTTGAATTTTCAGTTCTTCAGTATTTCAATTTTTCAAATTTTGACGTTGCTAAATTTTCAGTTTTTCGATTTCTCAATTAATCTATTTTTGATTTTCCCATTTCTAGGCTTCTTAAATTTTCTTTTTTTCAGTTCTTCAATTTTTCGATTTTTCAGTTCTTCAGTTTTTCGATTTTTTTGATTTTTTGACTTTGCTTTTTTGGTTTTTCGATTTCTCAATTTTCCAATTTTTTAATTTCTCAATTTTTGGATTTTGTTTCAGTTTTGGAATTTTTCAATATCTCGATTCTTCGACATTTCGACTTCTGGATTTTTCGATTTATCGATTTTGTATTTTTTGGGTTTTCAGTTTTTCATTTTTTAAATAGATTTTTCAATTTTTCGATTTTTAAAATTGTAGATTTTTGGATTTCTCAAGTTTTCAGTTCTTCTATATTCAATTTTTTGATTTCTCGAATTCAGATGTTTCGATGTTTTGATTGTTCAATTTCTTGATTTATCAATTTTTCAATTTTTAACTTTTCCTCTTGCCTTTCGACTCCTGGATTTCTCGATCCTAAAATTTTTCGATTTCTCGATGTCCCAGTTTTTGGATTTTTCGATGTTTCGATTTTTGGATTTCTGGGTTTTTCGATTTTTTACTTTTCGGCTTTTCAATTTTTCGATGTTTTGATTTTTCAGTTATCCGACTTTTCAATTTTTCAATTTTTTAAACTCTAGAGTTTCGATTTCACATTTTGTCAGTTTTCAATTTTTGATTTTTAAAATTTAAAATTTTCGAATTTTTATTTTTTGATGTTTGGATTTCTAGATTTTTTGATTTTTTGATTTTTCAGTTCTTCAGTATTTCTGTTGTTCAATTTTTCAAATTTTAACGTTGCTAAATTTTCAGTTTTTGATTTCTTAAATAATCTATTTTGATTTTCCCATTTCTGGACTTCTCAGTTTTGATTTTTCAGTTCTTGAATTCTTCGATTTTCGACTTTGCTTTTTTGGTTTTAAATTTCTCAATTTTCCAATTTTCTAATTTCTCAATTTTTGGATATTTCTTTCAGTTTTGGGATTTTTCAATATTTCGATTTTTCGATTTTTTATTTTTTGGATTTTCGGTTTGTCATTGTTTAAACATTAGATTTTTCAATTTTTCGAATGTTTTATATTTCAGTTTTTCAACTTTTCGATATTTTAATGTTAGGATTTTTAAAATTCTAGATTTCTCGATTTCTCGAGTTTTGAGTTCTTCAATATTCCAATTTTTTAATTTTCCGTTTTTTAAATTTTCAATTTTCTAGTTTTTCAATTTTTTCTTGAAAACTGAAAAAAAAAACCCTCTTTCGATTTCTCGATGTATCAGTTTCTGAATTTTTCGTTGTTTCGGTTTTTGGTTTTCTCGGTTTTTCAATTTTTTACTTCTGGGCTCTTCAATTTTTCGATTGTTCAATTTTTTGAATTCTGGAGTTTCTATTTCTCGATTTGTCGATTTTTCAATTTTTGATTTTTAAATTTAAGATTTTCGAATTTTATTTTTTTGATTTCTCGTTTTTCTGATTATTCAGTTTTTCAGTATTTCTACTTTTCAATTTTACAAAATTTTTAGTTTCCCGATTTCTCAATTAATCTATTTTTGATTTTACCATTTCTAGACTTCTCAAAGTTTCGATTTTTCAGTTCTTCAATTCTTCGATTTTTTGATTTTTTGACTTTGGTTTTTCGAGTTCTCAATTTTCCAATTTTTTAACTTCTCAATTTTTGGATATTTCTTTCTGTTTTGGGATTTTTCAGTATTTCGATTCTTCGACTTTTCAATTTTTCGACTTCTGGATTTTTAGATTTTTTATTTTTTGGATTGTTAGTTTTTCATTTGTTAAACAGATTTTTCAATTTTTCAACTCTTCTATATGTAGTTTTCAGTTGTTGTATATTTTAATTTTTCAATTCTCTGAATATTTAAATTTTCAATTTTTCGAAATCTCAATTTATCGAGATTCGGATGTATTGATTGTTCAATCTTTCGATTTATCAATTTTTCCATTTGTAACATTCCGATTTTTCGATTTTGGCCTGTTTATAATTCGAAACGTCGAAAAACTTGAAAAACGAATCATTCAAAAACAAATTGGAAAATCGAAAACTTAAAAATGCTGAAAATTGAAAAATTGAAATATAGAAAAACTGAAAACTCAAGAAATCGAAATTCCTAAAATTTTAAAAATTGAAAAGTTAAAATATCGAAAAGTTGAAAAATCGAAGTATAAAACAGTCGAAAAATTGAAAGTTTAAAAGATGAAAAATTGAAAATCCAAACAGTAAAAAGTCGAGAGAGACGAAAAATCGAGAAATTGAAGGTTCGAAATACTAAAAAATCCGAAAACTGAAATATAAAAATATTGAAAAATACAAAAAAAATTGAAGAATTGAAAATATCCAAAAATTTGGAAATTAAAAAATTGAGAAATCGAAAAGTCACAAAAGCAAACCCGAAAAATCGGAAACTTAAAAAATCGAAAATTTTGAAGAACTGAAGAACTGCAAAATCGAAACTTTGAGAAGTCGTGAAATGGGAAAGAAAAAAAAATAATTAATTGGGAAATTGGAAAGCTGAGAAATCGAAAAATCTAAAAGTCTAAAATTTAAAACATTGACAAATTAAAATATTGTAAAACTGAAAATGGGGAAATCCAAACATCAAAAAATAAAAAATAAAAATTCGAAAATCTTTGAGACATCGAGAAACCGAAAAATCAAAAAATCGAGAATTCGAGGAGGCGAAAAGTCGAGAAGTGGAAAAATCGAAAAATTGTAAAATAAATAACCAAAATTGTGACAAAAAATATGTAAAAATTAATACAAAATAGAACACAATGCTTCTAAAACATAAAAATAACTGCACTTTATGTTTGTAAATAAACGCATCTAAATAATAACTATTTCCCGTAGAAATTCTGAACCCTTAGAGTCGATATTGGCCTGCGCACATTTGGGTTTGTAGATCAAACAAGTTCTCAGGCGATGTGTTGTGCAAGTAATTTGAGGTAATTGCAAATTGACAATCCTTTAACGAGAAACTCTCAAATCTTTTATTTTGCTTTTGGAATAAATGATTAAATTTAGATGTCCAACCCGCCCCAAATAAAACACATATCTGATATATTTGAGTGTAATTTATTATCGAATATATCTCTTGTTAGAAAACAGTTACTTTTGTTAATATAAGTCACCCTCAATTAAAATTACAAAAACCTTCAACAACAAAATTCATCAGCATAAAAGTATAGCAAAAATACATAGATAAAACTGACTTTTACAAATATATACAACTTTATACTTCATAAATATCTACGTTACTATAAATTGAGCGACCACGTCTTCACCTACATTAAAAATTGCACAGACCCATCACTTCTGCTGCTTGCTCTCCGCCACAACGATATTCGTCACCGAATGGTCAGCCGGATTGAACACCCACTGCTTAAAACTACTCTCCATTCCGCCATTGGTGGAAACCTGCACCACGTGATCATCCTCGTGCTTCCTGGGCGGCACCGCCGGCCGGCTCCCCCCACTCAGCACCGGCAGCCCCGACGGAATCTTCGAGTTGCTCCTTATAGACGTCACCGTCACGTTCTTGCTCGGGGGCTTCACCTGGTACTTGGAGTGCGACACCATGGGCGTGGAATGCACCGTCGACGACATCAGCTCCATAATGTCCTTGTCGTTGTCGATATCCAGGTTCCGGGAGTCCCGCCTCTCGGGCGAAGTGGGCGGAGTTTTGGCCGTAGTCGCGATCGGAATGCGGGATTTGGGCGTGGTTTCGGGCTTGGGGCCCTTCGGCGGACTCTTCTCGAAGTTGGATCGCAGGAGCTCGATCTGGGATTGGCGCTTCTCGGGGGTTTTGGGGGATTCGTAGCTGGACGTGGTGAACCGCATCTCTGGAAGCTTTTTCAGTTGTTCTTCGGCGATTTCGTGGATTTTGTGGAGTTCCTTCTCGGCGTCGTTGTCGGTGATTATTATGCTCTTGAGGTCGGGTTTTGGGGGAGGTTCGAAGCGGTTTTCGAATTTTTGGATGTTGGACTCGAAGTTTTTCACGTTGGACTCGAAGTTGCGGACGTAGTCTTCGAATTCGTGGTCGAGGTTGCGGCCGTTGCTGTTAATGTTGGGGATTATTTCGATTTCTGATATGTTTGTGGAAGGGTTGGTATTGTTGGGGGTTAGGACTTGGATTTCGGTGATGTAGGTTAAGGAGGAGTTGTTTTTGGGGGTGGTGTTGTCGACTTCGTCGTCATACGGTTTGGTTTCAAGGGGTTCTTCTTTTGGCAACACTGGTTGCAAGTCCACTGAGAATTTATTCTCGTTGGGTTTGGGTTCAGGTTCACTGGGTATCTCAAGAGTGAGTGAAGATGGTCCATGGATCATCACGTCGTTGTTGAGTTTGTTGATTGCTTCCGTTATAGTAACGTTTTTGATGATATCTGGAGTACTGATAGTGACTTTGGAAGTGTCGTGGTCAGGTCTGATAGTACTATCAAGGGCTGTGGTATAGAGTTCGCTCACCTCCTCACTTTTCTCGCCACCATGCTCATTCACACGCATTTCCAAACTGTGAAGATTTTCTTCATTTTGAGTGTGAAGATTGTTAACTGTGATATTACTGACGTTCATTTTAGCGTCGTCTGATTTCGGACGTTCAAGACTACCCAAAGAGTGTCTCGAAACCTTTATGTCGTCTGAAATGTTGGTATCATCTTTACCAATATACCCAAAATCGTCTTCATCTTGACTGCACGCGATCTTCTCCGTAAAAATAAAATTCCTGGTTAAATCTATAAGATTCAAGTAGATAACATCCTCAACGGGATGTGTGGTGGTAGTTTTACTTTCGTCACTCTTGTTAGAAAGTTTGTCTTCACTAGTTTTGACTGTGACTTCCTCTTTATCAGGTACATAAGAAGAACTAGCTTTTTTGGGCGAAGACAATAAAAAATCTTTCTTCTCAGGTACAGCCGGTTTAGTGACTTTTTTCTCCACTGTCACGGTTTCCATCGACAATGGTGGTTCGCTTGGTTCGAGCAATGGAGGTTTTCTTTGCCTCTTTTCAACCGTAAGAAGTCGAGGATTGTCATCTAGAGTGATTTTCTCCTCGACTCTCGTGGCAGCTGCTATGGCACTTCCGTTTGCTTTATTCCCACTAGTTTCCAAATCGAACGTGGGCCAAATCTGGTTTTTGATTTTCTTCTCGGGCTTAACCGGAGGAGCATTTTCTTCTTTGATCGTTTCAGACAACTCCATCGACTCTCTCTTGATTTCGTTGATTTTGTTGACTAAAGCGTCAAACTCGACCGTCTTTTCTCCCAGTTCGAAGTTCATATTGTCAAGCGACAAGTTTTGGTTCGAACTCGAAAAACTCTCGTCTTCTTGGTTCAGTTTCAAGATTGCGTCCTCAAGGTTCCCCCATTCAGTCGACTTCTTTAGTCTATTCCTCTGGAACGTGTTCAAACCGTCCAGAATCAACGACAATCGCGGTTCTTTGCTCATCATAACCTTCCCGAAGATATCCTCCTGCGAACCCATATCGTCTTCAATTCTGCCACCTTTTCGCTTCTTGGTCAAGGTTGGTATGCTTGTGTCGGTAATATCGAGACTTTGCGCCCGCTCCAAAGTACCGCTACTGGACTTCCTCGTTCTTTGAATCTTGGTTAAATCGCCAGTACTGGCAGTTCTTCTATTTTGTCGATCTTCGTTGTCTTCGGCGTGGTGGATGGTGATGTCGCTGGAGTTTAACTCAATCGTATTCACTGAAGACTGATTATCAGTTTCGAGGTCCGAGTCAGAATTGTAGTCTTTCACGTTAGCTTTAGCTCTCAGTTCAACCTCGATTTCTTCCTCCAAGTTTTCGATGTTGGTTTTGGGGAGAGCTTCTTCGAAATCGTCACCAATGGCTTGAATTTCGTCCAGATTGTCCTTGGGTTTCTCGGGTTCTTTTGGTTTTTCTTCAGGAGGAGCAGGTGCTTTCCCTTTTGTCTTCTTCGGGGTTTTTTCCACTTCGTCTCTGTCTTCAGAGCCTCGTCTGTTGGTTCTAGCAGCAACTGCAGCGTTCATCATGTAGTTGGGGATTTCTTGAGGAATCCCGTTGGCGTCCCGTTTTACTCCAGACCCGTTCAAAACGTTATCCCTAACGAAACTATCGTCACTCCTTTCTGGAGTCACTTTTCTTTCTCGTTTCTTCACCTGAGGCTTCTTGTCGTCAACCTCGTCAACCCCGACTGGTTGCTTCTCTAAATTGATGTTGTTGTCGTTTTGCGATAATTCCGCGCTCTTTGGACTCATCTCCGGGGGCAAAACTCTAATCCCGAACTTCTGTAATTTGTTTTCGGTTTTCTGGACTTCGGCTTCCACTCTAGCCGGTTTTTCGTTCTTCGCCTTCAAGTTGTTTTGGTGGTCGGCGAGAATCTTCTGTTCGAGTTGGCTTTTCAGCTGTTCTGGGGACATTTGGGTTTTCGGGGGGACTTTCTTGGCTCTCGGTTGGACGTTCTTGGGGGATTCCGAGTCTTTGCGTTCCAGTGTGGTCATGTTGCTTCTGGATTTTTGTAAACTGGAGTAGTTAGAGGAGCCGGAGCCTGTGTGGTCGTCTGTGGCAAAGAGGCGTCGTTTTGACGTGCTGCCAACCTGAAAATAGTCACTTAAACAAAAAATTGTTCTAAATTGGGGTGGTACGTACTTTGAAAAGGTCTGTACATGAGGAGCTTCTGTAGACGGGGTGGCTGGGTTGAGCCCCTTGGCCACTCCCCGTCTGGTGGATGATTTTTCCACCTCGAGCTTCGATTATTACTTCGTAAGGACTAGCATAACTTAAGATGGTTAAGGCATCTTCGTAGACCATGTGTTCGAAACTAATGGTGACGCTATTGATTCTATCACCAGGGTTTAGTTTTCCTGATTCGGAGGCGGGACCTCGATGCAAGACATCTTTAATATAGATGCCTTCTTTCATGTTTCCGCAAATGTTGAAACCCAGACCAGTGAAGTCGTGGCTTCGTAGAGCCACCACTTTGACTGCGTTTCCCTGCAAGCCAAGATTATAATCAACTTAAGTCAAAGCGACTCTGTTCGACTTACATCAATGGCACTGTCATCCAAAGTCTTCTTCTTCTCGGACTTCGTGGTAAGTGCGCTCAGTGGTGACCACTGGGCCCATTTCGCTTTGCTCCCGTCTAGCTTATCTTTGTCTAAGGCTTTCGCGATGGGAGTAAAACCAGGATCTGTGAAAGAATGCAAAAGGTCTAATTAAAACAACGAACGCGATTTTCCGCCGAGTAAACAGCATAGTCCTTCATGCACCACAAGGTCAGCAATTCTTTCGTACATTCCATCAGTGAATCAGTCGTAGAAATGCAAATTGGTGTCGGCGTTTGTAAACAAAACACACATCGGAGGCTTTTATGGGATAGCAGGCAACAATCGAACCGATCTAGTGACTTAAGTCATTAGCGCTGTTAACACTCACCTTTGAAACCTGGATTGTCGAACGCGTATTCGGCTTTCCCTTTTTCTGGGTCGGTTTCGAGGATGAGCTCTGGAAAAGAAGCAAACATGAGTAAAAGTCATAGTGATTATATTTTTTGCAATTTCACAATACAATAACTGATTAAATCGTATGTTCTAGAATTGAAAATTTTGGGAATTTGTAAACATTTCTGGGGGACGTTTATTTCACTCAAGGTCACCACTTAATCTTCAAAATATGCTTCGCATTAAACTAACAATTATAAATTAAGAAATTTGACAATACTCAGTTTTGGGTCTTCGTTTCTGACCGCTTTGTCAAAACTGCAGCCTTAGAAACATAAAAACTGACACAAGTTTTCCTCTTTTCGGAATCGGAGACGATCTGGGCATATTTGAATGTGTTTGGGAGACGCAGAATGTTAAGAACTCCTTGATGGATAGCCGACTTCCAGAAATTTGGCCAAGAGACTGTTTTTAGCTTAAAACTTGGTCATTTTTTGTACTTCGAGACGATATGGCCAAACCTGACTGTATATGGGAGACCCAAATTACTCAGAACCCTACTACATAAATTGAACTCTAGAAGTTTGACGGGCAAACTTTATTCTAGGGTCTGGGTTTGAGCGTGTTTTGTTTCCGTAGTAAAGCTATAGAAAAATTGATAAAAAGTTAGAAATAAACATCCAGAATGTTTAAAACACCCTGATAATGACCACTGTCACAAATTTTTCAAAAAGACCATCTTTAGCTTAAATTTAACAGTTTGTTAGATATCTCAGGCATTAGATAAATTAGCAAAATGGACCAAAGTACCATTTTCTGAGATTTCGAACACTTGCGTCAAAATTGTGATCTTCAGAACAAGAAAACTAAGCTGAATTGTCTTCTTTTCATACTCTGAGACAATATGGGCACACCTGAGACTGTTTGGGACATTAAAATAGTTAGAACTCGGTTTATATTTCAGCTCCAGAACTTTGGCGATAGAATCACCTTCTAGTTTCAGTATTTTGATATTTTTTGTGATTACGGTGTATAAACATTTTAGAAAAACGTGCAACTTGCTAAAAGTAATATTTTTCTTAGGTTCTGATTATCTACACCAAAGTGACAGAGGCTAGAACATGAAAATCTATCTGGATTGTGCCCTTTTTGATTAAAAAAACTCCAGAACACAGATCAAGTCCAAAAATCTATGTTCAAATTTCAAAGCTTTCCAGCAATTTTGGGAATGTTAATAATAATTAGAGCTAACTTTGTTTAAGATCTTAAAAAACATCTACTGGAAAATACAATAATTTGATGATGGAATTTGAACCAAATGAGGTCCTTTTTGGAACTTGAGATGATTTTGACACATTTCTTCAGTCAAATTTGGAAAACTTTCTAGCAATTTCGTATTTGTTGATGATCTAAAACGCAAAAAAAACGGCGAAAAATATAGAGCTTTCATTGTATAAGATCTTGAATACCTCTCAGAAGGTACATCAATTTGACGACGAAATTTGAACTAAATGATCTCATTTTTTTTGGGATCTAAGATAATCTAGGCATATTTCAACCTGTCTGAAAGTCAAAAAATGTCCAGAACTTACTGATAGTTTAACTCTAAAAACTTGACGAAAATCTACTTTCTAGTTTAAATTTGAAAGTTTTCTAGCAATTTCATGTTTATTCGTGATTTGAAAAAATTGTCGAAAAATATGCAGCTAAAATTGTCTAAGATCTTGAACACCCATCTGAAGTTCCAGCAGCTTGACGATGAAATTTGAACCAAATAATTATCACTTTTTTGGAACCTGAGACAATCTGGATATAAGTAAACTTAACTCTAAAAACTTTATGAAAAAACTACTTTTCAGCTCAAATACGAAAGCTTTCTATCAATTTCGTGTTTGTTGATAAACAGAAGAGCAGGAAAAATTGTCGAAAAATCTAGAGTTAATATTGTCGGATTTCTCGAACACCTATGGGAAGTTACAGCACTTTGACGACGGAATTTGGACCAATGATCTCTTTTTTTAAAGCCTCATTTCAGCGTATCGAAAGACAAAATGCGCAGAACTTGCTGTTGGAAAATTTAAATTTAAAAATTTGACGAAAAAAGTACTTTCTAGTACAAATGTAAAAGCTTTCTAGCAATTTCGTGATTGTTGATGATCTGAAACACGGGAAAAATGATCGACAAATGTAAAGCTAACATCATCTAATATCTTCAACATAGATGTCGGAACAAACTTAAATTTAAAATTTTGACGAAAAAACTATTTTCTAGCCTAAATTTGAAAGCTTTCTAGCAATTTCGTGATTGTTAATGATCTGTCGGCAAATGTAAAGCTAACATTATCTAGGATCTTGAACGCATATCGGAAGTTTGGTGATGAATTTTGAACCAAATGATCTCCCATTTGGAAGCTGAGATGATCTGGATACATTTCAGCGTGTCCGAAAGACAAAAACGGCTAGAACTTACTGATCGTTTGTTTAATTCGAAAAACTTGATGAAAAACTCCTTTCCAGCTCAAATTTGAAAGCTTTCTAGCAAGGTCGTGTTTTTTGACAATCTGAAACGCTAGAAAAATGTCAAAAAATGTCGAGCTAACATTATATGTATCAGATCTTAAACATAGGTACATCGGAAGTTTGGTGATGAATTTCGAACCAAACGACCACCTTTTTGGAACCTGAGATGATCTGGTTATATTTCAGCGTGTCGAAAGAACAAAGTGCTCAGAACTTACTAATAAACTAACTTAATTCTAAAAACTTCATGAAAAAATTACTTCCCAGCTCAAATTCGAAAGCTTTCTAACAATTTCGTGTTTGTTGATGATCTGAAAAGCAGGAAAAATTGTCGAAAAATATAGAGTTAATATTGTCTAAGTTCTCAAACACCACTTTGACGACGGAATTTGGACCAGTAATCTCTTTTTTGGAACCTCAGATGATCTGGTTACATTTTAGCGTATCGAAAGACACAAAATTCACCGAAATTGCTACCGGCAAACTTAAATTTAAAAATTTCACGAAAAAACTATTTTCTAGAGCAAATTTGAAAGCCTTCTAGCAATTTTGTAATTGTTGATGATCTGAAACGCGGAAAAAATTGTCGACAAATGTAGAGCTAACATTATGTAAGATCTTGAACACATATCGGAATATGGTGAGGAATTTTGAATCAAATGATCTCCTGTTTGGAACTCGAGATGATCTTGATACATTTCAGCGTGTCTGAAAGACAAAAAGGGCCAGAACTCACTGATCGTTAGCTTAACTCGAAAAACTTGACGACAAAACTACTTTCCAGCTCAAATTCGAAAGCTTTCTAACAATTTCGTGTTTGTTGATGATCTGAAATGCGGCAAAAATTGTCGAAAAATGTAGAGCTAACAATATCTAAGATCTTGAATACATGTTGGAAGTTTGATCATGAATTCTGAACCAAGTGACCTCCTTATTGGTACCTGAGATGATTTAGATACATTTTAACGTGTTTGAATGACACAAAATGCGTAGAACTTACTGATCGTTAGCTTAACTCGAAACACTTGACGAAAAAATTACTTTTCAGTTCAAATTTGAAAACTTTCTAGTAATTTCGTGTTTTTTGTTGACCTCAAAGTCTGGAAAAATATTCGAAAAATATAGAGCTTACATTGTCAAAGATCTTGAACACCTATCGGAATTTACAGCAGTTTGATGATGGAAATGATTTTCTCTTTGGAACTTGAGTGATTTGGACACATTTAAGCGTGTTTCAGAGATTCAAAATGCCCAAAACTCGCTGATAGCTACTTAATCTAAAAAAATTTGACGAATAAACTGTTTTATAACTATGTGTTTGTTGATAACCTGAAACGCCAAAAAAATTCAGGAAAAATAGGAGGCTAACTTTTTTGAAATTCTGAGCCATGGTCAAAGTTACAGTAGTTAGAAATTGGAATTTGAGCGAAATAATCTTCTTTTTGAAACCTGAGATAATTTGGATAGACCTGAGAGTGTTTAAAAGACTGAAAATGCTCAGAAATCGCTGAACGAGAGCTCAACTACAAAATTTGACGAAAAAAAACTACTTTCCAATACAAATTTGGAAGTTTTCTAGCAATTCCATGCTTACTGATGATTCAAACTCAAAAAAACTGTTGAAGAATACGAAGCTAACATTGTATGCAATCGTGTGCACCTGGCCAAAGCTGCAGTACTCAGAAAATGGAATTTGAGTCAAATGACCTTCTCTTTGAAATCTTACAGCATTTAGGCACATATAAATGTGTCTAGGAGACCCAAAATGCCCATAACTTACTGATGGCTAACTTAACTCCAAAAAATTGACGAAAAAACTGCTTCCCAGGTCAAATCTGCAAATTTTTTCGCAATTTCGCAGGAAAAATTGTCAAAAAATATGGAGTTAACATTGTCTAAGATCTTGAACACTTATCCGAAGTTATAGTGGTTTGATGATGAAATTTGAACCAAATGATCTGCTTTTTGGAACCTGAGATGAGCTGGACAAATTTTAACGTGTCTGAAAAAGAAAGAACTTCAGAATCACCTTCTAGTTCAGTATTTTGATATTTTTTGTGATTAAGATGTATAAACATTTTAGAAAAACATGCAACTTGCTAAAAGTAATATTTTTCTGAGGTTCTGATTATCTACACCAAAGTGACAGCCAGAACATAAAAACCGTCCCGATTGTGTCATTTTTGAAGATACAAAAAACTCCAGAACACAGATCAAGTCCAAAAATCTAAGCTCAAATTTCAAAGATTTCCAGCAATTCCGTAAATGTTGATTAGAAACGCAAAGAACAGTGTCGAAAAAGGTAGACCTAACAGTGTCTAAGATCTTGAACATCTATCTGAAGTTACAGCAATTTTATGATGGAATTTGAACCGAATGATATCCTTTTTGGAACCCGACATGTTTTAAGAAAGACTCAAAATGGCCACAACTTACTGATGGCTAAATTAACCCTAAAAACTTAACGAAAAACTACTTTTCAGCTCAAATTTTGAAGCTTTCTAACAATTTTGGGTTTGTTGATGATCTGAAACGAGGAAAAAT